GAGAAATAAATTATTTGTGACTCTAACATTTCCTACATGAATTGCAAGTGTCACATCTCCATTAGGTAGTCTAATTGATTGAGAGATTTTAGTTTTAATTTCTATGAAAAATGGAATTGAACAAATCGTATGTTATGTAGCTCCTGTATCTATAACCCAAGGTATAGATGAAGTGACATTACTTTTATCATTATGAGCAGACAAACACATATAAGTACCAGAGATCTTAGGTGCATCTATGTGTTTGGTGGAAGGGGAGTTCAGAACATGACTAGTAGAAAGTGAATGAGATTGACTGGTTGATGGTTTGAGCAAAACCATTAGTTGAGTATATTGCTCTTGAGTCAAAGTAACTTAGTTTTTGTCACCAACTTGCTCTTGTGTAGGCCCTATAGGATTAGCATTCTGATCAGTAAAAATAGTATTCACCTGCATCTTTCCATAGAGTCTGTGACCTCGAGGATACCCATGAATTTTGAAACAATTGCTAATGGTGTGGCTTGACATTTGACGGTGTGTGCACGCTGGTTTATCCTTATTAGCCTTAAAACAACTATCTAGTGAGTGTCCAGATATCTTACAAAAGGTGCAGAAATACTTCTTCTGAGGTCCTAGATTCTTCCTCCCTGTCTTTCTCAGATTGCTTCTTCTCGTCATTAGTGCCATTCCCTCAGAGATAGGTTCATCAGCAGAAATGTCTCTCATTTTTTCTTCCTGTTGAATTATAGAATATACTTCATTCAATTTGGGAAATGGCTTGATCAGTATGATTTGAGCCTTGAGGCTTTTGTATGAGTTATTCAGTCCCATAAGGAATTTCATCACCCAGTCCCTTTCTTGGTTGCTAACCACCGTCCGCAACCCTCCACATGTGCAATTGAGAATAGACTCATAGTTCATTAGCTCATCGAGGAGTGTTTTCAGCTTTGAAAAATAAGTGCTCACTGTATCCTGTCCTTGCATCAGTATTGTTATTCCCTGTTTGACTTCATAGATTCTAGAAGCATTTTGTTTAGCCAAACGCTGTTCTAATTCCAGCCATAATTGGTGTGCTGTTTCAGCATATAGCGTGCTAGCCTTAATGTCCACCGTTATGGTGTTTTGCAACCAAGTGATAACTATATCATTACACCGAAGCTAGTGCTTCATCAATGGATTATTGACATCAGTAGGTTCACAGACACTTCCATCAATGAATCCAAGTTTATTTTTTATTCGAAGGACTTTTCTCATAGATCTTTCCCAAGAATGATATTTACTAGAGTCTAGCATCCGTGTTACCAACAATGCTCCATAATTCTCATTTGCGCCAATGAAATAAGGACTATTGAGAAGGGATGGATCATGAAAATTTGGATTCGAGTTTTGAGGCAGGATTGGGTTTTGATTTGTATTGGTAACACTTGTACCATCATTATCAGCCATCTTGGCTCAGATACCATATAACAAAAGTGGCTAAATGAATGTAGATTAATTAAGCAAAATTGAATGGAGTAAGCAGAGAAGAAAACGTGCTGCTGTATCACTTTTCATTGATTAAAAATGGAAGAAGGTTACAAGTATATATACACAAATTATAACAACTTTGTACAAGTGGTAAAACAAGAATCTGTTATGCACAAGAATTACAACTGAATTTGGAATCTAATCTAACTCCTTGGAGCAAGTGGCGGAAGCTTCCCTTCTTCTAATCTTTCCTGATTGCAATTTTGGACTTCAACACCATGCATCACATAAAGGTAGTCTTTATAGGATGAAGGTGGAGGCAGAATTTCAGTAATTTCAGGAAATTCAGCCGTTAGCAGTGAAGGCAAATCTTTCTTTCTCGCGTAGTAAACATCAGATAAGAAAAGCCATATCAGGTCAGGTTCTACGCATGCAAGTCCAACAAGGGCATTAATAGAAGCATCTAGAAGACCTTTAACACCACTACATGCTATCCCGACCACCAGAACACCAACCTTTTTGAAGACGGCTTCCAATGCCGAAGCACTTCTTTTGTTCTGAGCTAAGTCTAAAATCATGTTCAGCAATTCCGCCTGGACTTTCACGTTTGAAATTTCAGCAACTGAATCCCATGAAGATGTGGAGATGCTCCTGTAAGGAAGTTGCAAAGGGGTTCTTTCTTCTCTTGAGAAGGGTTTCTTTCGAAAGGGTGATGTGTTTAGAAGTTTCCAAAAGTGAATCCCATCAGCATAAAAATGACGAGAAAAGAACTTACCCCCATAGATTTGTACCACTGTACTAATCGCATGAGAACATCTTCTAATGGTCTGCACATTAAAAGTTTCAAATAAGATAAGCAACAAATTCCAAGACATGTAAAGAGATTTCTGATGGATCAAACAGAAAAGCAAAACTATGTATTGATTCTATTTATTATGCTGTTTAGGCCTTTACACATTCACGTCGCAATAATATTATATAATCCTGTCACTTGCTGTTGACAGTGTACTGTTCGTTACACGCACTTAATGATTTCAGTGAAATCCTTGTAAATTTTATCTCAATGCATTTCCATCTAAAATAACAAGTATCAAATACCCAGCAGCAAAATTAGGACCATTTGCATCGTGTGGTAGTATTTAGTTTTCTTTCTTCTTTTTGCCAGACTGTATGAAAAAGCAAGGAAACCAAAAATGGCATTAACTTCAGATTATTAAGCAGGGAAAATAAATTAACTTACAACTGGATTCTTGTTTTGGACACAAGAAACCAAGAAAGGCCAAATTTTATTCATCGCAGGGAGCAATCTATTCTCTACTGTTTCATTCTCAACTGCATCTAGAGTATCCTGAAGAATATGGAATGAACAAGAGCGGATGAATTCCCCAATTGCCTCTTTAGTTTTGCTCTCATGCTTATAGGCTTCTTCCACTTTGGCTAGTGCCAAATTCCATCCTTATGGAAGACACACAAAACAAATTAGAACAAGAAAAAAACTTACAATACCGTATAAAGTATTCTAAAACAGCATAGCTCGACCACCAAATGGAATGCCTCCAGCAAAAGCATCTTTGGCTAAGCTTAAAAATAGTAAAAGTTGATTTTTGCTAACTTTTGTTGTTTCTAACCTTCTTATGGATATTTTATTTTTCTATGGATATGTTACTTATTTTGGATGTATATTTTTATGTTACTAACAAAAGTAAAGTAGCTCAACTTTACCAGTAAATAAATTATCTATTGTAGAACATGTAGTAACTTCGTCAATACATTACAAGCAAGTGAATCTTAAATGAGAACAATTTAGATAGGAGAAAAGTATCATAAATGATTAAAGAAATTAAAGATACGACATTCTATTAAGCAATCTAAAAGGAGTCATCCAGAACAAAAAGTTTGAGCAGAAAATCATTGGTTAAATTTGTAATATAGAGCTTTCAATCTTCAATAACATAGTCAAAAAATCACTCCATGTCCCATAACAAATTAATTAATCAGAAGTATACCTCAATTACATCCAGTGCTATCAAACATGCTGCTTGTTAAGCAGAAGCAATTAATGGAGTTGCAGCAATTACACATGATCTTGCAATAGATCCAACTATTCTTCGGTATCTTTTGGAATCATTCAATTTGAATAAAATTGAGTCCCATTCTTCCATTTGCATATGAGCACCACTGGAGAAACTTCCCATCTCTGTTTCAAGAACAAGATTAAGATTATTGTAGGAATTTCAATCAAATCTTGTACAATTGGACAACTCATTGACAGTTCAATTTGTTAACACTTTCATTTGTCAAAGATGCAATTCTTTATAATCCTAACACCAAATTTGAGTCATGCTGTGTATTTCAAGACGTATTCCTTCTGACCAAATAGAAAAAGACATGCCTTTTTTTAACGAAACAGCATTCAACTCGACACATTGGATATCACACAAATTCAGAGTGGGTTTGGAATGGAGAAAGATTAATTATTTCCCTCTTTCCATATTTCTTCATTTATTAGCACTTAGCAGATCAGGTGACAGGTCATGAGGTTTTAATTTCCATGGGCATATATAGGGTTGATATCTTCACTTACGTGTCCATTTTAACTGAAAGAAGGACCAAACTGTATTCAAGTCTTACTTCCAATGGGCACAACTAATCGATGTCAATCATTGACAAAAAGGTAGTAAATAGCATGGTTCCTAAAACAGAAAGGGCCTTTATGACCGTAGAGAAAATGATTTTCAGTGTCAACTAGAAAATTCAGAAGATATTTCATTAACAACCAAGGTTATACACAAACCAAGTGCATCATGAGATTTAAATAGACGAAGCACTTCAAGCACCAAAGATGAAAAACGTGAGAAAATATGAAATGTATATGCATATACATGTATATTTTATAATGTTTCCTTTTTCCAGGTCCAATAGTACAAATTATAATATGATTTTGTCTACATCACCAAACTAATAGAAGAAGAAAATCAAGATCAGATTGAGAGGTAGCCCACCAAGCTTCTAATTTTTTCCAAAAGTTTCATATAGAGACTCGAAAGGATATCATTAAATAGAAGTACGTGATAAGAGAAGGAAAAACATCATATTTTCATGGGTGAAGCCCATTTCAACAACAATTTATATTAAGAACAACTATGAGGATATCAAATCTGTATCTAACAAACACCCAACAGTTCAGGTATACTCACCCGATTCCATGGAATCTATAT